TCAAGAGGGACCAGTCACTGGAGAAGGATATCATATTTGATAAGGTGGAGGGTCAGAGAAAAAGAGGAAGACCCCCAATGAGATGGATTGGCCAAGTGGTAGCATCGATGAACTCAAGCGTGGCAACAGTTAGTGAGGTTGGGCCAGGATCGTGCAGTGTTTCATTCTGCTGTGCGTAAGGTTGCTATGAGTTGGTACCGACTTGATGGCACCTAAGAACTATAATAATACCCAAAGACAATCTGTACTTCACTTTGCATCAATTTCTTGCTTTTGTTTTCACTGAGCTCATACTATATACACTGTTCTATATTGTCACAAAACCCCAAAACCCAAATCCAATCATTAAGTCAAATTTCAGCTTACAGCAATGCTACAAGACCGAGTGGGACTTGCCCCACGGGGTTTCCAAGGCTGCCATCTTTAAGGAAGCAGACTGCCACACCCCTTTCCTAAGGAGCGAGTGATGGGCGCTGGCCTCCAACCTTCTAGCTGAGCACTTGACCACCACATCACGAGGGTCCTGTGATGTCAAGACGTCTCTAGATGCCAGTTAAATGGCCACACAGCACACCTTGAATGGTCACCTGTCATTGGATGCTGGCAGGTTTGAAACAGGTAGCATTTAATTAGACCTGCAGTTTTAGAAAGATGAACTTTATCAACTTAGATGTCAGCTGAAGAGGTCAGAAGGCTCAGCTGGAGATTTGCCCATGGTTCAGAGCAGCCTGAACTCAGGAGCAGCCCAGGGAATTCTGGACCCGGAAGATGATAAGGCCAGACACAGACATGTTCCCTCAGGGCTGCGGTGAGGAGAAAACTGAGTCTGTGGCTCTGCTGTGTGAGGACCACCTCACATCTGGAGGTCACATGGGCAGGCAGGGAAAAGGATCAGCCAAGAATGCAAGGGCATCTATGCTCTCAGTAGAGGAGGCACGGTCATCTGCTGAGGCCCGCAGGATTAAAAGGTCAGAAAAACCAGTCATTTGCGGAGAAATGCTGTCTTAACCACTTACAACAATTTTTCTAACATCCAACCTAGATGCATTGTAGATGCAACTTATAAAAATAAATGCACCTAATCCCTGGGAAGGTGACACGCACTTTGCATTGCAGGTAACCACCACGAAGATCTTTTGGCCCACAGGAATCTGTCCACCTGGCTCTGGGGTCCGCTGCCTCCACAGCTGTGCCTTCTCTTCCCTGTTTCCTCCTTCACATGCAGTGGTACCTGGTGACAGGAGATTCAGACCCCAAATCAGACCAGGAGAGGAGTTTGTCCCACAATGCAGTCAGCCTAGCCTGCACGTCAGAAACGGAGAGCTCCCTCACATTCACAGGAGACAGTCCATGGCTGTCCCTTTCCCAAGCCTGGGTGTCACAAGGGGTCTGAGCCAGCTCTCGCCCCTGGTCTAGCATCAGGTTTGGAGCTCACCACCTCCCTCCAAGGGGGCGCTGCAAACCGCCAACCTGCCCAGTCCCTGACAAGACCGGCCTGGAGTCCCCAAGCTCAGGCGGGTGCCGGCACACTGGGTGTTCATGGCAGTGGCCACAAGGCCCACCTGGAGCTCCTTTCCCGCAATCCTCCAGGCTGCCTTCCAGGGTTGGGCAGGGCCAACTTTTTCTGTGGTGATTCAATAAGCTCACATCTCTGTCCAAAAAACCCTTCTTCCCAGGGCTCGTCCGCTCTTTGCAAGGCACATGAAACCTGAACTGTTTGGTTTTATCCCAGCCAGCCAGTCTGCAGCTGACCAGGTGTTGGGGAGCGGCACCTTTATTCCTGGAAAGACAAGGGACACGAGCGCAGGGGTTGACCTGCTGTTACCAGATGGCATGGAAGTCAAACTAGCTTGTGAACGGGAAGCAAAGAGATCTTAACAAATGCAAGTTAGCTTGAGCAAAAAAATTGCGAGAAGATGTTCATAAAGGAAAAGCCCAAACAAACCAATGGGCAAGGTTGTGGTTGCAAACCCGGTCCCGTGTTGGGTTCAGTGGGAAGTGGTGGACTCACTCTATCCAGATCACCAGAGTTTTACTTTCCCCATCTTTCAGAGTCCCAAAGTTGGTGGTCCTCGTCACTTCCACTCCTGCTTTGTTCTTCAGTAACTGGGCTCCGTAGGTCTCGTCCACAGCCTCACTGAGAGAGGAGGGATCCCTGCAGAAAGGAACCAGCCCTCAGAAAGGGCACTGTCGTGCTCTCTACGACGCGACTGAACACGACATTCTCACCCACAGTGGACATTCCAGCAGGTGCTACTCTGTCGTCCCCTCCCCCAGAGGTGCCATTAGGAAAGGGGTAGGAAGTGAGTCTGTGCACCCAGCTCTGGGCTCACACCTGCTGGTACCCCCAGCCTCAGCCAACTCCTACCCCTGTCTCGAAAGGCTCAGATTCCTCCTGGTCTCACACACAGCCTCCAGGGCCAGCTATTGAGCCCTTTCTCCTTCACCCACATGTGCCAGGTGGCTGAAGGCACAGTGATGCCCTCAGTCAGGCCTCAGGGAAGGGAGAGGTCCTCAGGAAAAAGACAAACATGTGGAGTCTCAGTATACAGAGGGGACTGAATCTCAAAGAGCCTGATGGGAAGACATGGGGTCTTTTCTCAGGGTGTTGGGACCCAGGACAGCACTGTGACATGTGTATTGAATACACAGTGCCATTCAACTTCCCCCATAGCGACACACTCAGACGGGGCCCTGGACGCCCCCACACCTCACCCCACGAGCAGAGCGAGCACCCGTACCGTCTCCGCACAGGCATTATGCACAGTGCCCTCCACATGTAACACGACTGGCTGCTCTCCACCACCAGCGTGTTGACGACGTCCTTGCGGCAGGGCACGTAACCACTGGGCAGCTTCAATGACTCCAGGGTGAAAAAGATGCAGTCATCGATCACGCCGTTTCGCCCACAGAGGCTGGAAATGCAGACCTGGGACACAGTCCGTGTGTGAGGCCACAAAGCTCAGCCAGGCACTTGCCTCTCAGGGACAGCTGCATCTTAACCGGAGTGTCACCTGGCTGCTCTCATGGTCCCAGGAAACAATGGCAGCTCAGACAAGCCAGCTCCTACCCATCTCACTCAGGCATCCCCAACAGCTCTCCACAATGACCACAGGAATTAGGTAGCCCTCTCCAGGGGACAGGCCCATCCCGGTGATTTGTTTTAGACATTCCAGCACACCCCACAGAAGCCTATGCCTGAGGTGACTTGGTGACATGTGTGGCAGATAGAGAAGAGGGCAGCCCCGTGCTACCTTGTCCAGGCGCTTGTAACGCAATGGTTTCACAGAGACCGCCTCGCTGTTCCACGTGCCGGGCCGGATCCAGTACTCGGCTTCCACCCAGTCCCCCTTGCAGGGCTGAAAACCTAAATGGTGGAAGGAAGCCCTCAGTCCTCAGTGCTGTGGTCACTGGAGTAAGAGACCTCCTGGGCTATGACACACTGAGGCCATCTCTGCTGTGACACACTGGGACATGTGCCACAATTATAAAGCTGTCCTCTAGCATTGTTAGAAATCACAGCAGTTAGCCCCTTCTTTACCTGACTCACCCAGGCCCACCATCACAGAATATACCCCTGTTATGTACTGCTCTTGTTCCTGGGTCCTCACAGATCACTCAGCTAAGTGTCCACAGACTGCCTGCCTCAGTCACCCTTCCAGTGTTGCCTGATGCCTCCATGAGTATTCACAGGTAACCTGAAAACCACAAGTCTGACCTGAGCTCCCCACATTTATTCCTAAAAAATGGCTTGTTCCTCCATCCCTGTCATCCCCACACCAAGGACTTTCCTTCACACCACACCACTGCCATCACATACATATCACTATCTGTCCCCAGGACAATGGACAGGATTCCCATGCCCCCGTGCCTCTGCTGCATCCATTCTCAACCCAGCTGCCACAGTGGCCCCTTTACAACACAACTCAGCTTTCAGCTTCATCTATGTATTTATATACAGTGTATATATATTTCTGAAGTCTACATTTGGAGTTCTGATGTGGTGTTGCAAAATAATGCCCCCCACCACAAGGTCAGTTTAAACTGTATCAAAAACCTTTCTGCACGCATGAGGAGTTTCAGTGGGCCACAGGCCCGAGGCCCTCACATGTGCTCCGCTGCACGAAAGAAGTATGACCCCAAAGGAGAAATCCTGTAAACCTCACTTGGGCGAAATGCCCAGAATAGGCAAATTCAGAGACAGGACACAGCTTTGAGGGTCCCAGGGCCCAGGCAGGGCCTCGTGGACATGGAGTCCTATCCGGGGTGATGAAAAAGAGCCCAAAATCACAGTGAGAGCGACAGCACAGTCAGTGGTCTGAGGCCACAGGACTCCACAGGCACAAGTGATTCAAGGGGACGGTTCACGTGATGCCTATTTCATCACAACACAGGAAACCGCGAGCCCTAACTAGGCCCCTGCACAGCACTTCTCCAAGCCCACCAACGACTCAAAGCCTGGCATCCTGCCGTGTCCAGCAAGGTGCCCATTGTCTGTGACCAGGTTAGCATCCCCTGCAGGAGGCCCGACTCCCGAGAACAGATGAGGTGCCTAAGGACAGTGTGAAAGCCACCACAAGGGAAATGATACAGAGGAACTGACAGCCAGGCAGCTAGCACCAGGTCTGCCCGGAGACCAGGGAAGCCCATCTGGTGTAGTAGAATCTCCACATTTTCTCATTGAAAAAATGAAGTGTTATCTTTAATACGCTGCAATAAAATCAGAGGAATGGCAACTGCTTGTGCACCGTCAGCTTCTAGAGGGCGTAGGGCACATGCGAAAGACCCCCGTCCCCTTCCCTGTGCGTCCGACACAAGCTGGAGTCAGTCCCTGCCAGGCACACACAGAGGGCACTCAGGGACAAAGGAAGGGACCAGAGGCGAGGCTGGCCCAGGAGGAGGAAGGACACTGCTAGTCCCAGCAGGGGTGCTGCAGTTCAGGTGGAAACGTACCATTGGGTGAGATCTGATTGTTATGTTTGCAATAAACCCTTCTGGCAGCAGTAAGCTCACAGGAAACACAAAGTGAATCACTGAAGACCGATGCAGTCGGCTGCCATGTGACGCTCACTCAGGGGCCACAGTGACACCGAGGCATGAAGGCTGGACAACCTGCTGGGCCATATGCCCTTCAGCTGTAGACAATCCCATCCTGCTCTGCAAACCACAGCCTTTCATGTCACAGCAAGTCACAGGCCAACACTTTGCTCATTTTTATTCCAAATTTCCCTGCACACGTACCAAGAGCGAAGCAACAGTGATAAATGTGTTTGCTCTTTAAGTGGATACTTATGGAAATAGAACAGAAAACAAATTCAAACAATGATATGGATTTTGTCATTCAATTATGGAAAGCCAAGCCAAGAGTTGGGAAGGTCATGCTGTTGAGGGGATGTTATTGCGACTGCAAATTCTGTTCAAGACCCAGCACTCAGAAACATTCTCAGAAGTCAGCAAGCGCCTCCACAAGGGAACACAGTCAGGAGCAGGTGCCCCAGTTCTATCTCAAAGTCCACCAGACATCAAGGAGTCCACGCCTAGGACAAGCCTTTAGCACACAAAGTGCCCAGATCAGACCCTTTAAATGAGATACCATCTCAGATCTAACTCACAGTATTAAAAAAAAGATACAATTCCTACTTTTAAATGAAAAAACAAAACAAAACCCAAAAAAGTCCATGAGCGCTGTCTAGCATACCTTCACACACACACTGTAGTGAGAAGTATGTGGTCTGGTTGATGTAGCCAGCCTCTTCTGACAGTGAAGTCACACAGCCGATCAAAAGGTGGGTGTTGGAGCTGCTCACTTCTTTGCTGATGCTCTTCTTGCCATCATCTTCCCACCTGTCAGAAATCGCTTCCACCTGGGAAAAATGCAAGTGCTACGTAAGCAGAGCAGGCATACACAGCTGTAAAAGACATGGCTTAGTGGTTCTTCCAAGCATCACAGTGACTGTGATGATTACATTTCAGCTGCTGCGCACCAGCGTGTGTGTCTGAGAGTCGTAAGCTGGTGGAGAGAGCCCATGACAGGAATCAACAGCTGGGAGAATGGACCAGGAGGACAGACTGCCACAGAGCCCGGGTCAGGGCAACATTTCAGGAGGCAGGAAGGAGCTTAGTGCAGCTGCACCAGGAGTATGGAAAGGCCATGCTGACTGCCCCTGCTACAGCCTGGACAGCAGGTTTTGGTTTTACAGACTGTTGTCACGTTTCTTTTGTAAGAAGCAGGCACTACAGGATAGTGTATGCAGACTCCCCGTCTCCCTCCACCCAGCCATTTGTCTCATAGTCCATGCCCTAGTCCCGCATCGTGTCCACTGGGGCTCTCTGGGCAACATTCCCATCACCTCCTGAAGACATCACGGCCTGCTGAGAAACTTCTAAATGTCCTGACTCCCACAGACCCCAAGGCTCTTAGGTTTGTCCTCATCTGGCAGTCCCACCCTATTAGGTCTCACCTCCAGCTGCCTCCCATCCTGTCACCAAGCAAATAGACTCTGACAGCAAACGAACGCAGCAAAGACAACAAAGAGCCAACACAGACACAGTCCCTGGTCCCAAACTGAGTTGTTGAGACCCACTTAGGATGCTGGCCTGATAGTGGACACCCCTGATCTCCCACTCCCTCCCAGAGGATGCATGCCTGTTCTGAGCGCTGACCACCCAACCCCCAGCTCCCTCGGAGAGGACATGCCTGTCCTGTTGGGAGTCTGTTGGTGGCCCTTCACCTTCCCATGTCTCCTCCCTGCTGACTCGGCCACCCCAGTTTTCCTGACCTCCCCGCACGTGCCAGGCCACTCACCTCCAGGTCATCTACCCATGCCCCTCCATAGACAGTCACGTCTCCTTCTCAGGCATCCTTGATTTTGTCCTCCCTCCCCTCCCCCTGTAGCCTCCTCAGTAGGATGCTGAAGAGGCGTGAACACTGCACCTACAGCGCTGGCTCTCCCTCCAGTTAGGCCAGCTGGTGCTCGTGTTCCATACCAGTCTCCTCTCTCAGCCTCCTGGCTGTGTACAAAGGGAACCTTTACAGAAAAATTATGTCAGTTGAAAATTTCCAGAAAAACTGGAAGGAGAGAAACGAGCCACTGCATGATAGAAAGTTAACAGATATGATGTGACATCGACAAGTAGCCCAGGGCCCACTGGAAGAGCTGGGACCAGGAACCCAGGTGACCAAGAGATTAGGTCTGAGGATGAATGTGTGTGGAGAGCGAGCGGCTGTCTTTTTATAACCTTCAGGGCCAACATGCTACACGGGGCTGTCTATGGGAACAGAACTGTCTGATCTAGCACACACTTGCAGTCAAGGGATTGAATCTCTAATGTCATTAGTTTTAATAAATGCAAATGCAAATAGCCAGCCATGGCTTGTTGGATCATTTATTTTAATTTTTGGTACTTATTTTATTTTTCTGTTCATACATTATTTTTTAAATTTGAAAAAAATGGTGCTAAGTATTCCATTGGAATTTCGTTATGGGAGTGATGGGCTACATTTCAACCATTTTAAAAGCAGCAGTAAGGGCTCAGTTTGCCAGCACCCACTTACTTAACAAAAAAGCAACAGCTTTCTGACAACAGAGACAAATACTACTCTAAAACAATGATCTATGAGTGGGTGCACAGACAAACACACAAGCCGAACAGGGGTGCGAAGATAAACGGGGCTCTGGTAGCGTAGTGGTTACGAATCGGGCTGCGAACCTTAAGGTCAGTGGTTCGAAACTACCAGCTGCTCCGTGGGAGAAAGATGAGGCTTTC